AACAGGACCATGTGGAAGATATAAAACACCAATTAACTAGATGCCAACCTCTATTCATTTGAAAACACATCTAGTATATTGATGCCTCCATGGAAGGACCAAGAAACAGGAAATTGACAGTTGGTAGAGGATKGATAGCGATGAATAATGAAGCTTAGAGAACATTGGAAACTTAACATGGATYCTGATTAAGTAGAGATAYGGTATATACTTTTTGGAGTTTGGACGGGCTTGCTGATCAAGTGTTAGGACTTATGCTAGTACAACCTAAAGGCCTTAGTGTGAGTTACGAGCTTGTGTATTCCTATAAGSTCGAATATTTCATAATTCTCTRTATTGCAGACTTGTMACGCTGTGGCAGGAGATGTTACCGTGCGTGGTGCTCGAGCTCAGTACGTTGATTTTACGATCCCCTATCTGAGCTCTGAAGTTTATATGCTTGTGCATGCTACACATGAATGGAACCAAACCCTGTGGACTTTTGTAAGACCYTTTACCAAGAGATTATGGATCACACTACTTGGTGCGTGTATTTTTATTGGACTTGCARTTGCAATTCTGGAATACCGTGTTARCAACCCAAAATTCACATCCCCATTCTATCAGAAACTAATAATGGTCATCTGGTTTCCAATTTCGACATTCTTTTTCCATGAAGGTACTTATTTTGATATATAGAAAATTTTAATACCTCTAATAGTTACTCCCATTGTTCCATATTTCTTCATTATTTTCTATTTCATTTTTGTGCAGGAAAGATACTCAATAGGTGCTCCAAAATTGTGCTTGTTATCTGGCTAAGTATGATTTTCATAGTAGTTCAGATTTTCACAGCAACTTTATCTTCATGGTTGACACTAGATCAGCTACGTCCCAGATTGCCCTCGAGTTTCGAAAATGTTGGATATCAAGATGGTTCCTTTTTAAAAGATCTTATAGCGCAAAAATCCAATTATTCTGGGAGGAATATAGTGCCCCTAARAGGCGTTGAAGAATTTAAAAATGCTTTGTCCAATGGCAGTGTAAATGCCATCTATGATGAACTTCCTTACATCCAACTCTTTCTTGCTAAGTATGGCTCTGATTACATGAAGTTTGGACCAATAAACCAAGAATCTGGAATTGCATTTGTGAGTCTCTCTTCTCCTTAACTCTCTTGTATTAGTTCAATCCTTTACGGTTCCTTGATTTAGCCAATGTGGAATCCAAACTACTTACTGAAAAATCAACCCTTAACAATTGAACCCTAATATTCTTGACCTGAAATCATGAATAAACAGATAGACAAAAAGAACTAAACAATTGAACAGAAAACCCTAGGCAAAACCCTCAAGCTATCAGAGGTGGATCCAGAAAATTCCAAGAGGGGACACAAAATAATTAGCATAATGTAAAAATAAAGCAAAAATTGTTTATGAAAATTATGGTTTTATTAAAAATGACATAGAAGTGGTCTTTTATCTTTTCTTATCTTTCTGTTGTTACCAAAAAAATAAAAGAAGAGCCAAAAGAATTTAAACTTGCAACCTCTAATACGAGTGCATTATACGACATGCATCGACACTTCGAACAATCTCATTTTGTTAACTTAGGGGAACACAAAACAATTGAACTGCGCCAACGTTCTGTGACATGGGGTCCATTATGTGCTTCTAAGTTCATGTTGTTGTACTATATTACAATCAATTACCTAACTCCATGTGTTTAATATCTCAGGCATTCCCTCGTGGATCTCCTTTATTGCAGAACTTTTCTAGGGCAGTCATAAATGTCACAGAAAGTGAACTTATGATGGAAATGAAGACAAAATATCTTGGGTTCTCTACTCCTGATAAATCACAACAAAATCAAGCCCTTCCACAAAGTCTTGATGTTCAGAGCTTTATTGGATTGTTCATATTCATGGGGAGTGTGACTATAGTTGCAGTTATCTCGTCAGAAATCTCCCTTAGGAGGAGAAACAACAAAATCCTTCCCCTAACATCAACAGATAATTAAATGCATCTCCGACATACTACGAATTGCTTTGGGAAACCGATTAAAAGGAATCATAATCCAAACTGCAGGCATGTACTGCAAACCCAAATAGGAAGTTTGATCTTCTGAAACCTGGTCGAGTTTGATTAACATCATTTTCATTTGTGAAAATAATGTTTTCTTGTCAAACATGTTATATAGGATCCCTTATTAGTGCGTATTTGCATTTGTGTTGGTTCGTGCACACATAATATGTACATTGGACAATTAGTAGTGCTTGCTTGATTGTCTGTGTAGTTTTTATAGTGATTACTTGTGAACAAGTGTCACCAACATGAGTGAGTAGATGCCTATTGGATTGAGTTAGTTAGAAGCCTATACGAGCGTGAAATGTGCTAAATATCCATGTAATCAGAATATTGTTTCTATATATGTTGCATACTATACAGGGTCGGCCTGGCCAAGTGCAGCCTGTGCGGCCGCACAGGGCATCCAAGTCTAAAGAGGCGTCAAGTAATACAAAAGGATCGAGGAAGCTTTGTACACTAAAAAAACCATTGAAACTGATTAGGAAGTAATACAAATTGAAATCATACATTGTGATTAAACACTCGAAGCTATTAAAGTGAAACAATAACTCACTTATTTAAAACTGAACTCAATGAATTTTCATTTTCTGAAACAGATAATATCTTCATCATCAAAGTCTGTGACTTAGTATGGAGGTTGTTCCTACCTAGTCTCTGATTAAACTGTTTCYCGTTTTGTTAGCCAGTGTGACAGGTTTTTTTTTTCTTCCACTTTTCTAATATATTTTCTATTCATTTTCTAAAACAATTATCTAATTCCATAAGACATAAGTGTGTAGGTAAAATTGAAGCTATAAGAGGGAGAGGGAGAGGGAGAGGGAGAGGGAAACTAAAATGAGTGTCGTCCTAATCTTTTTGGAAGCCTTGTTATTAATATAATAAAACTATAGATTGTATGAAATAAATAAGAAACAAAATAAAATATAAAATTTC